GCCTACCAAAATCTTCCAGCACAAGTTGTCCTAGACAGTACACTGAGCAAACCTAGCTTTGTTCAGTCTCAGTTGCTGAGTCCTTGGGTTTCTTCCCACTGTAAGGCTCTATCTCCTTGATTTATTGGTGCTTCCTCCATCCCCATGGCTACTCACTCTGTGAGACCCCTTACAAGACTCCCTACTCCAGGGCAATACCCCCAAGGTTTACTCTTCCCCAGTTTTCCTCCTTATTCCTGGCCAGTTCCCTTTCCTGCTAGAGTTTGACTGCAGATCTCCCTGGTGTACGTCTTCTTTCACCTCCTGGCTTTATATTCTCCCAGCTGAGCATCAGCTGCAATTAGGTGCTTTTTAAGTGTTGGAGTCCCTCCAAGTGCAGCATATAAGGTTAATTGGCCCCTTCTGGCTCAATTACCTGTTCAGAGCTTTTGTATGAACACTTTTTTAGTGTTGTCTTTTATCTTCCCTTTTGGTTATGGTGAAGGTAGGATGATTTCCTTTTTGTTTCAATATATTCTCCTGCAGGCTACTGACCAGGATACTTCATGATGCTCCAGTTTTTATGTAGTCCAGTCAAAAGATTGTCTTTTTTTTGGAAGGACTTTACTTTTCTGTCTCTGAGTAGCTTTGTGTTTCACTTCCTAGTGTATGGTGGTATGGGTTTTTTTGGGTCCCTTGGGCTTCTATCTTTAGGCTTTTTCACATGGTGCCTTAGCCTACTTGAGATAGGGTGTACATTTTAATGGGCCCCACTGAGTTGTGCCCCAACTGCCCTGTGTAGACCCTGTTGGCATGCATTTAAATACATCCTAGTATGTGTATAAATGGTCCACAGATGCCAGTTAATGAGGACAAAGATATGGGTGCCTTTTCTAATTTCTCTTTATTATCAAATACCCTTCTATTTGCTGAAAGACTGGGTTCAAGCTCAATATGACATACCAGGATAAAAGCCAAACTAATGTGTAACTGTGTCACCTGTAACTTGGGGTGCACTTTGCTATGTCTTGCTACTATAGCCTCCAACTAGGAATGTGAATGGTTAATGAGTAAGCATCATTAACTGATTACATGGGATTTTACATCTTTACCTCCAATCTGGACTGCTCAGAGCCTTCACCATATAAGCCACTCTCAGCTGGGACTGTGTGAAAATCTTTACTATTGCCTAATCTGTAAAGGCAATCAAACGTCATTCAGGATCGGTTGGGTCATTTCCACTTTTAAAGGATCACTTACTTCTCTGGGTGAGCACATAAGGACAGGTCTACATGATAAATTTACATCAGAATAACAGTGTCCCTCGGGGTGTGAAAAATCCACATCCTTGAATGATGTAATTATACCAACCTAACCCCCAATATGGACAGTTCTATGTCAACAGGAGCAGGTCTCACATCAAGAGAGCTGCTACCTTTTGTAGCGTTGGATTAACTATGCCAACAGGAGACACTCTCCTTTTGGCATAGTAGCAATTTTGCTTTAGTACTACAATGACACTGGTGCACCGCTGAAGTACTATGCATACAGATAAGCTCTGATTTGTGTGAAGATCTGTCTCCTTGATTCCTGTATGCCAGAGTTTTCTCTGTGATGAAAATTACTCAAAATCGTTCAGTCCAAAGTTGACTCTCAAGAATTACAAAATGATCTTACTAAACTGGGTGATAAAATGGCAGATTAAATTCAATGTTTAAATATGAATGAATGTACATTGGAAAAATAATCCCAGCTACCCATACAAAATGGTAGCATCTAAATGAGCTATTAGCTCTCAAGAAATAGAGTAATTGTGGATAGCTTTTTTGATTGTCACTGCATATTTTTCAGAGAATTAACAATGTTAGGATACATTAGGAAAGGGATAGATAATAAAACAAAAAACTATCATAATGCCCCATTTATATTCATGGTATATCCACGTCTCGAATACCACATGCAGTACTGGCTGCTCCATCTCAAAAGAGAGATATTAGCAATGGAAAAAAGTAAAGGGAAGGGCAACAAGTGATTAAGGGTGTGGAACAGCTAGGAGAAATTAACAAGACATAGGCTGTCAATCTTAGAAAAGAGACAACAAAGGGTGGATATGACATGAGTATATATTATAATGCGTACTATGGAGAAAGTGAATAAGGAAGTGTTACTTGTGGCTTAGATAAGGTTATCCTGGGAACTTTCAGCTACTTGTTGTTTCTTTGCCAACTCCATAGACCAACATTGTTAATATTGTATTTTAACACATAATGACACATCTCTTTACAGCTGTTCATAATATGTCATACCAATAAGGCAAATACTATCCAAGAGATGGGGACTGATCATGTAGGTCTGAGTAGCACTGGCATTTAATATTGTTGCAAATGTTAATTTGGCAGTTTTTGTGCTTATTAGAAGAACCTGTTTGAAAAGTTTACTTTGTTACATTTCAGTGATGCTTTGGAGGTGGTAAGGATAAGCTCTCTTTTTTTTTTTTTTGGTACATTCAATTACATTGAATTCTGTAATTAATTTGAGGTCCTACATTTGGCCTTGCAGCCTCAGAAGCTCTTCTTTTCTGTTCATACCCCAAACTCTGCAATGTAAGTTTCTTCTGTCTGCAAACCAATACCTTTACTTGTGAAGTACTTCATAGAATGGAACTTTTTTACTGTACAATAAGTCCAATAAAGTATAAGGTTTTGTCAAGAAATCGTTGATGGAAAAAAAAGCATGTTTTTCATAGCAAAAAGCCTGGCAGTTATTTAAAACCCAGAATCCAAAATTGTGTATGAAAATTGATCAGACATACTTTCATCTTAATATTTTATCTGCTACATGCTTACCCAAATATCAAATATGGTTAGTGTTTTCTGGAATTCCTAATAGTCCTCTCTTTTCAGTAACTTAATTAGCTATATCTATAAATAGATAGAAAATTCAGGATACTGAAAAGAGAGGACTGCATATACATTTCTGACTTGTAATAATAAACCTCTCAGGGCAGTGAAGATTATATAGTAGTAAGAGTTTTATTGTCCTTTATCATTAGTCTTTTCTTGCTTTTTGACTTCTAGTAGAATATATGGCCATGAACATTCTTTGCTAGTTTTACCCTCAAATCTCACAACTAAGATCCAATAAAAACTAAATTTATATGGTTACAACATGGCAAACAGTTTTCCCGATTAATTTTGCATTAGGTGAGTCTCCATATTTAACTTATTTTTTTACAGAAAAATGAATTTCAGATTGTGTTGTTAATCCACATCTAGCCATACATTTTATTAGAAATTATTCAGAATTTTGCATAGAAGTACCAAGGCAGCCACTTCGGCTAAAAATCACAAGGGTATAAATCTTATAACTCTTGTAGGGGAAGAAGGCTACTTTTACTGAAGCCACTGTGAGGGGGACTATATTAAATGTAAACCAAATGTAGGGCTAAGAAGCAATAGGTTCCAAGTTCATCATTACTAACTGCTGAGATTGCAAGAGGCTTGTAGATCCCCCTCCTCCCCATTTAAAAACAATTCATGATATCAGGGAAAGCTGGGGATTTTCTTGTAAATCAACATTATCTCCCAGTGTGCTCCCGCTGTAACTGATATTGTACTGCTCTTGTTTGCCATGGGAATGGAGACCTGTAGGGAAGTATGTAGTCTCATGCAGGTTTATATTTGCTTCCATAGATGAAGGAAGTTGTAAGGCTTTGCTTCCTCCAAAATACATTTGGTCCTCCAATCCCATCTCATTATAGATATGTTTTATAGGAAACTTGTTATTTTGGCCTGCCTAAGCCTTATCCTGCAGGAAAAAAAAAGAATATTTCTGCTTTTTATTGGCTGTAGAGATGTTTAACCAGCTAACTGATTGCGGGGAAGGGGGCGGCACTCCGGTTTGGTTGAGCCCTGCCACAGCCGGACTAGAGCGGCAAGAGCAGCCCCTGCCTGTGGTGGGCCCTGCGGGGCTGAATCAGTCCCCATCTTGTGGTGGGTAGAAATTGCTCCAGCCCTTACCATTTAATCCGGACCCAGTAAGCCTCACCCACTAAAGGTGAGGCTCATCAGTTAACCATTCACATCCCTAGTTACTGGTAAACCAATACTTCTATACAACTAAACCCTTTTCAGTCCTCCTCATAATAAGCCCTGATTCTGTGCCATTAAAGTTAATGGGAGCTTTGCTATTGTCTTCAAGGCATTTTGAAGCCCATACTTAATAGTCTTGTAACATTTCCACAAACTTAATCCTCTATTCTTCTTTACTGTGTATTGCTTTGAGATCCTCATTCCTACTAGTTTTCCTCATACCATGGTGATTCTTGCTGCTCCTGCTGTTCAAGTAGAATGTAGATTATTTTACTATCCGTTTACTTCCTCTTCTTTTGTGCGCTTTTTTCCCAATTAATTCGACTTGATAATTAGGCCTTGCAAAAGAGCTATTTTCTATATAGTCCCTTCTTCTACATGGACTATTTTCCTTATTCTTTAGCTGTATTCCTCACCATTAGAATGTTCCCCCCCCCCTTTTGAAGCTACAGTTTAATCAAGCAATTAACTCTCTAATGGCTCATTATACTGCATCCACTGCACTTCTATCTTCATGGCCTGTCATGGGCTGGACCAGGATAAAAAATGGAGTTAGAACTCTTGGATGATAGTGTTGGCTGCGTCTGGAGAAAAATGTTAAACTGAATTCTAGGATCTGAAAACTTTTACGCATCAAAGGAAAGAAAAAAAGCTCCTATTACTTTACCAAAACTGGTGCGCATGACTTAGACTGACATAAGTTATTAGCTCCTTAAAAAATGATTATGATCTATCAGGTCAATAAACAACTTAATAAAGGAATAAATATGGATTTCAATACAAAGCATGTATTACAAACTAGACATTTTCCAGGATAAAAATTATTTGGCTTTACCCAATTTAAAATCTGTTATGATCTATCATGTAAAAATAGAATGTCAAGGTACATGTTGAACATGACTTTCAAATAAATGTATTTACCCAGTATACTTATTATACTCCAAAATATGTTTATTACTTAAACCACCATATGCATGTATCCAGGCTATTTTTAAAAAGTGCCTTAATATTTATCCAAAGCTCTTGTTCTCAGTATTATGTAAAATAACATTTTACCTTTTTAAATGCCTAAATAGTATGTAGATTTATCCAGAGGAGATGTTAGGGGCTAATATTATCCTTTATATAGGTCTTTTAAAATAAAAAAAATTAACACATGCTACCTGTCAGACAATCAAGTGCAAACAGTAACTCCAAATAATAGCAGAGATTATGAAACAAACAAGCTCCCCAGATTCAAATTTAAAACAGTTTTATGTTCCTCCGTTAAGTTTTGCTTTGCAATAATTATTTCCCCCTTTGACTATGAAGTAAACTTAGGATGGCGTGTTAGTTATAATTCTGAATACCTTAATTTTCGTGTTTGTATTTTGGTGAATCAAGTTTTTACTTAGTCATTTCCATATTTGCTGTAAGTTTACAGAGGAATAAAATTTACAAAGTTCCCATGTTTCTTTATGATCTAATATAAAATTTATTGTTTTCATGATGGCCAAATTAAAACTGGCAAATGGGAAACAAAATCCCAGTAGTATGAACCACAGTAATTGACAATCAAGTTCTCCGCTCTGTATCCACAGCATACTTTATACAATAAATCCCTGCTGCCAACTGCATTTCTTCTCTATTTAGGTTCTCAGAGCAATGAGTTTTATAATTATCTCCAAACAATTTTCTCCATAGTTACTTAAGCTCTCTCTAAACAGCTGGGTGTGTTGCCATGCAGTATCACCATCCCCTCCGCTAAGTTCAGCTTCCAAAATAACTTCTGTTGCATCAGAGAAATCTGAATAGGAACGAAGAATTTTATCTGTTGGAGGGGGGGAAAAATGAATAATTAAAGTTCTGCTACAGATCATTTATATTGCTAGAAATTATGTCCAAGAGGCAATTTGTAATGAACATTAAGGTGTTTAACGTACAGACACTCAAATATATTTAATAATTGACATGGTGGAAAATTCACTACAAATTATTATTTGTATAGTGGTAGTCTCTAGAGCCTCTAGTCAAGATAGGTGGACCCATTCTGCCACATGATGTAGAAATATAAAGACAGTCCCTGTTTTGAAGAGCCCATAGATCTCCTGTATTCACCTGAGTTTTGCTGGATCCTAATTTGAGCTATTTTTCCCAAATTGGAAAACTGTGGCAGATGGAAGTTGTATATGGATTGTTCTCATATTTTTCCCTATTCTTGGCAAAAAAACCAAGCAAAAAACACTTGCATGGGAAAAGGATAAAATGTAATTGCATTTTAACTTTCTTTAATACTAACATTGTTTTTCTCACCTCCACTCTCCTGCCTACCAGTGCTCTACATTTGCATTAGCACTAACGTGAGTTAAACCTTTCTAATCCAGCACCCTTGGGGATAGACAGGTGCTAAAACAGAGAATTTGCCAAACCACAGGAGGTCAATATTTTCTAGTAGCATTACTAACACTTCCACTGTTTACTGGGCTCTTAGAAGACATTTGGGGTAAATTAGAACTAAATAACATCACAGAACACTGAGAGCCAGGACTGGTGGCTGAAAACAAACTTTACGGGACTGAAGGAAACTTGGCCACACCTATGATAAGTGGACATCCAGCTAACTAAAATCTTGCTGGACCATAGATGTTGCCAGACCAGAGTGTGCTGGCCTAAAGAGGTTAAACCTCACTATTAAACATAAAATCAATGAGATTTCACACTTACCTCCAGTCAGCTCTACTTCTGCTATGTTAGAGCGCAATCTCCACCTTATTGTTCCACTGTGAAATGTATGACTGTTTGTTCTAATGGAGATGTTGTCTATTTTTAGACCAACTGACCCACACTCAAACTTCCAGCAGATATAAGCAGAGGATGATCCTTCTCTTCGGGCTAAATAAACCTAAATGGAAAAACATCATGATTAAATTATTGAGCACAGATCAAATTAAATGTCTGACTGTTGTATAAGGCACTGAACTTTCAAGGAAAAAAAACTTACTAAAGGTTGTCATTGAAAAATAAGTTTGTACACAGTAAAACTCTTGCACAGAATCTCCTAACGCCTTATCCTATTTTTACAGTGATACACGGTAGTTGTACAATTTCAGTAAAGTGAAGTTTACTTCACTGAAACAGTAAGGGGAGATCTTTCATGTGCTGTGTGGTATTTTAGCAATAGACTCATACTGTTTTATGTAGGGTTCAGTTTTTAAGTAAATTCAGTGTGCCAGATTCTCCATCCTGGTTTGACTCCTTTACTCACTCTTCTATGGTAGTGAAAATGGGCTGAACTGAGATGCATGAGACTCCTCAACTGGTGCAGCTGGCTTTGTGCCATCCTTTCTAGGCATTATCATGCCAGGAGTCAGAGGGGATGACAAGGGTCCACTATGCTCCTTCAATCCCAATCACTGTAATGATCCTTTTGGGGACATAAGCAGTAAGAATATAAAATCCTGTTTAACCAGTTAACTGACTAAAAGGGGCATGGGCACGGAGAGGGAAGACTCCAGACCACTTACCTGGTGCAGCTCCCTGGGGATGCACATGGCTCTGTGTCCCCTGCCACTCCCAGGCTCTGCCCTCTGCTGCTCCTATTGGCTGCAATTATGGCCAATTGGAGCTGCAGGGGAAAAGCCCCCGGGTAGTGCTTTGCTCTGTTGCCATTTCCTCAGCCTGGGGCAATGCACTGAGCCGCTTCCTTCCCACATCAGTCAGAGCCTGGGGTTGGGTCCAGGCCCAGCTTGCCTGACCCCAGCTTGCAAGGCTCTGGCCTGCCCTAACTCCCTTGCAGCAGGAAGTGGGCGCTGGTGTTCCACCCCACCAGGCAGGTCTAGGGAGCTGCAGACTTTGAGCACCCACACCAGGTCCCCAGTGCGGGAGTGGGGAGCCAAATCTGGCCCCTGGGCCATAGGTTCCCCAACCTGGTGTAAGGACAGGGTTACCTTCACAGGGGCTGTGGTCGACAGAATGTCTAGGAACCCATGTGATGGTTCATTGATGACCTCCATCTGCTACCCAAGGTTGGAAGCCACCATGTTAAAATGTTTTGATGGGCCCTTAAGTCATCCTGCAGTGGAGCATGAGCTCATTCTCTAGAGACATGTGTTGCCATAGCATCTATTGCAGCCTCCTCCTGAGACACATTAACTTGAGGACTGGTACTGGTTCCAGGGAGTATCCTGGCTTGGCAGTCAAGACCTGCTCCAGCAGGGGGATCGGTACTGGGGGGTGAGCTCTGAAGTTTCCCTGTTCACCCTCTACTGTCCCATCAGTCTCTGAGTGCACCAAGCAGGAGTGCTGTGAGCTAGTCTCTTGGCCTATGGGAAGCCCCCAAAGGTTCCAAAAGCACAATTGTAGGGGTGCTGGACCCTATGGGCCTGGCGCCTTGGGTCATTTCTGCTCTTGGCGCATCTAATGGCAGCATTGTCTGTGGGGATTGAAGAGGAGCTTCCCTTTGGTATGGGTGTCTTGAATAGTTGGACCTGAGTCCAAGCTTGATGAAGATGACAACGTGGATGACAGCAATGACCATCCAATCCTCCTGGTGCAAGAAATTGGTGCAATGAAGGGGGCTTCTTTGAGACTGGTCTTGAAACTGGCTTAAAGGTGGTTGATTCATTAGTGCCACTGACGAATCGTGTCCTGTATCCTGGTTGGGCTTGACACTGATAGTAATCAGTTTCTTAGTAGCCGCAAGGCTTCTGGAATGGAAGGCACTGTACACTTGTCTGCCTGGTGCTGACCAGATGATTGGAGGCAGTGGCACTTCAGCCAGTGGTTGCTGCAGTGCCAGGGCCTAAGAACAGCCTGGCACAGGTTTTGCTCTATCCTAATCTGTTCACTTGTCTCCCTTTGGTGCTGGCAAGCAAGTCTTCTCCCAGTAACCTCAGTGTTTCTTCCCCAGTACCAGTGAGGAGGACTGATGCCAAGTGTTGTTTTAGTCACTGGTGGAGCATTTTGATGCTAAAGTATTCAATGCCGAGGCTGATTTCTGTTCTGAACAAAGTCTCAGCATTGCCTCCATAAGTAGGATTTTAAGCCTTGCTGCTATCTCTGCGTGCATGCTCGGATTCCAAGCACATGCTGCTGTACTCTTTCCTGTCATCCTCTCCCAAGGTTTGCCACACAAACAACATAGGTTTGCCACAAAAAGAGCACTGTTTAAACCCTGGTACCCAAAACATGCCCTGATACTGGGGGAAGGACTGATAATGACTACTTAAAACTACAAAAACTATGAAAATCTAACTATTTACAGTGAAAAACAATGAAAACCGCTAAAACACTTTGCTCAAGGCAAAGAAAGGAAGTTCTAGCAGGCACATAAACAATAAGAAGGGACTGAAAAGCATGGGCTCAGTTGGGGCCCTCTTATACCAGTGCTATGAGCATGCAGTTGCAGGGGGCACCAGCACAGCTCTCACACCTAAATTGGAATGAGCATATGCAACACATCACAAAGAACTTCAGCTTTGTTGATTTGCTCTCCCTTCATTCCAAATTAAAGGATTAACTTCTTTTTTTAAATGATGGCTTCTCTGGCTGAAGACTACTCTGGACAGCTGTTCAGCTGAACTCCAACTTCTTAGGCTGTATATCTGTTAAAGTTAAAAGACTAAACATCCCACAAGGCAGCATTCTATAGAAGTACCCTTGCACAGCTATACCCCTGAGAAGTATCTGCTGTCAGTTCTCCTACCAACCCCCAATTCTTCCAACTTCATGGAAGAGCTCCTTATTGCTGGTAAACTCTTTTTGCTCAGTCACACAAATCAGTGCTCCCAGCTCCGCTTGTTACATACAGCCAGAGTGGAGAGCTGAGCAAAAGAGCAGATGTATGTATTTAAACAGAGCATTCATTCCCTTGATTAGTGGCTAGTTTTTTTCACCTGGACCATATGTTTCTGGCAAAAATGGGAAAGTTCTGGCAAAAATGGGAAAGTTCTTCATATAAGCATCAGAAAGTGTGAGGTACAGCCACACGGTTAGCAGACCTGGAAGGTGCTCAGTCTAATTTCTTACTATTCCCTGTTCTTCTTCCTCCACTATCCCTCTGTTGCATCTTTTTGCGCTTTATTTTACCCTCTAGGGCTGCGTCTAGACTGGCATGATTTTGCGGAAATACTTTTAACAGAAAAGTTTTTCCATTAAAAGTATTTCCGCAAAAGAGCGTCTAGATTGGCAAGGATGCTTTTGCGCAAAAAGTGCTTTTGTGCAAAAGCATCCACGCCAATCTAGACACGCATTTGCACAAGAAAGCTCCAATGGACATTTTAGCCATCGGGCTTTACTGTGCAAAAAATTAAGGTGCCTGTCTAGACTGGCCCGCTTGCGCAAGTATCTTGTGCAAGAGGGCTTATCCCTGAGGGGGAGCGTGGAAGTATTTGTGCAAGAAGCACTGATTTTGTACATTACAAAGTCAGTGCTCTTGCTCAAATTCAAGCGGCCAGTGTAGACAGCTGGCAAGTTTTTGCGCAAAATCTTGCTAGTCTAGATGCACCCTAGCTGTTTTGCTCCTTTCCTCTTTGTGCACTTCCCTATGTGCTCTGTCAGGCCAGCACAGAAAATGTCAGAGTGAAATTAACTTCTCTGGTAAGCTTCATTTTTCATTGTTGATAGGAGGCAAAGTCTGGCCTAAGTTGGTGATATGACTGGACAGAGGGAGCTGTCAGGCTAACAATATGTTAGGGAGGGCAAAACTATAGTCACTAATATAGAATGCTCAGCTCCATACTTGGTGGCTTTTTTCTAGTAAATGTCTCCATCTCTAGTTTAGCCTTAATTCCTCTCCCTCTTTGAGTTTGGAGTGCATGGTCACTCTGTTGCTCTGTGTCAGCAGATGGGCAGGGTCTTCAATAATCTGGGTAACTGACAGCTTTTACCCTTCTTGCAGATGGGAGTGGTCATGTTTAGGATAAAGAGTTTCTTCCTCTGCCTGTGCAGTGAAGAGAGGTGATTTACAACAAAGCTATTTCATCACAGCTGAAAAACAATTGAGACTCTTTGGAAAAGAAGTATTCCTTTTAATACATGTAGTACTGTGAGATTTGGCAACTCCAATTGAGTCCTTAAGCATTAAAAGACATTTTAATGCAAAATATGGTTCGTAATTTTAGTCTTTACTGGGACTATAATATTAATCTAGAAAATTCTACAGAAATTTATTTTAATTGCAATCCTTACCATTTTCCAGTCCGTTTCAACCTTTCTCCATATAGACTCTGTCTTCCACACACCTGTCTCCCAGCCACTGATTTTTTCATTATTATTGGAAATTCGTGTATAGCTATCTTCCACTATATTGTAACTGAGGTGGAAAAGTTTAGAGGTCTTCTCTTCCCCAGATGGAATAAAAATTACTTCTTTTCTCTTCTGAACAAAATAAAAAATGGTATGTTGGTGTTTTTTCAGTATTATCAAAGGGGATCATGTTAGTTTTATTTTTGCTTTTTATTTAGCATAAACATCTAGCAAATGTAAATATTTGATGAAATATATTATCATGTCCTTATTTGTTCTATAAGCAGTGTACCAAAGAGATTCACAGTTCTTCATAAAAACTGTACAGTGGTCAGTCAAAAAATACTAGAATTTTTTGCCACTGAAAAATGTTTCCAACTTAGAAATTGTATATTACTTTGCTAGAATATAAACCATTTGCAGAGAAAGGGGGCAGTGCTTTATTTAAAAATAATTAATACCATAAGTCTGTATAAAGAGTTGTTTACAAAAGAATTTTCATATGTATTTATGACAAGGCTGCAGGAGTCAGGTGTGTTTAACAAATTTTATCACCGAGGAAAAGAAGCAAATTTTTAAGCTATACTTAGAGAACAAGCATAGCTCAATGACTAATGCTGAAAGTTACAGCTAATGATAGCCATTTATAGAACAATGCCTTTCAAAATCTGATAGGGAAACTGAAATAAAGGTGGCTTTCAAAATTAAGGGTAAGTGTTAATTTGATAAAGATAATTAGAAAACAAGGGAAAATGGAGTAGATGCACTTAAACGTAGATTTCTAATCATCATTCATAGCCAGAGATTCAGTAAGACAGAAATAAAGTCCTCTAACTATGTATCATTGAAATTAACTTTAGTATCTCAAATCTGAACATTGCTATGAAATCCATTAGTTCCACTTAACTAGCTCTACTTCAGTATTTAGATTGTCATCCTTTTTGCATCAAATGATAGGATCACTCAGAAAAGGATGTGTAAAATGGCAGGAATAACTGATACCTTTGTGTACTGGCCTGTCTACGGCAGGTTTTTTTTTTTTAGGAAATTCTGTCTCAGCATAAGGGACTAGAAAATTAAAAACCACAATTAGCTGAGGGGAGAGTGGGGATTATGTAAACATTAATTAATCTCATTTTGTGAGAGCTGCAGTTACACATTCACAGTGGGCCATGATTTACATTTTGTTCACAAAAGAAACAGTTGGTAGAAATTTTCTCTCAAGATTAACTGAATTCTTTAGGCAATTGTCAATAACTTAGTGTGTATGGGAAATAAATACCTTAATTTCAATATTCTTAAATTTCCTGCTTTTGTTATTTTGTGGCTTTAATTAAAAGTATGACAATCATGAGCATACAATTAAGAGACAAACAATTTAGACACCTCTAAGATGATCACCAATTCACAAATTAAATACCTCTGAACCAATTTCACCTCTGGCTACTCTCCAAGCCACTGAACCAGATATCCGTCCACCAAGTTCACCAGGTTTGGGAGTTTGGGGAGAAATGAACTCGACAAGCTCCACAATTGTCCTTTCCAAGAGTACTCTCTTTCTGCTTTCTGACAAGGACTGCTGTCTCTGTAATAAAGTGCAAGAAACATCAAAGAAAAATTATCTTTCAGATTAGTTCCAACTGTAACTCTGCCCTGGAGCGATACCATAAGGAAACAAACATGAAAGAATTAAACTGGACTGGGATCACATGCACTCATATGCCCTACTCCTCACAGTGCCTTTAAAAAAAATGTTTGAGTGCTCTAACTGTATATTTCCATTCCTTAGTCTGGATTTCTTTTAAGGTAAACTCTTAACTGAATTTACTGAGATTATAATACATTTTTTGCATTGTTAAAAACATCCTTGTAATTAATTTTATTCTAAATTACTGATATGTACTCTGATCTTAACATATTTTTTGTCTGGGAACAGAAAAAACGACATGATTATTGGGTCAAGCCTTTCTTCTACAGTGAACTCTTCTGGTTATTAGCAGTCATGATTTGGTAATTATGTCTAAACACAAAAATCACATGATGCCTGAAAGACTAGATTCACATTGATGAATGCTGTTACAAATGCAGTAAGATTAACATATTTTTTTAAAAATAACAGAATTGAGTAAAATCATGGCATTACATTTCAAGATAAATCAAGTAAACCTAAAGAAGTCTGGTATGTAGAACAAGAATTATTATAAAACATACTTTTACCATATGATAAAAAAGTGGGTTTTCATGAGAAAATGACTTTACATGCACAGGATGGAGAGCCCATTTTTGTCTCATGATTTCCATTCCATGTAAAATAAGATAAGCATTTGGACATTTATTTCTTCATGGCCAGTCCTTCTAACAGCCTGAATGTCAGGCTGGGTTCTTCTCTGATAGCCAGTAAAAAAAGTTCTGCAAAATGAGGTCCTCTCTTACATCTGTATAACATTATGGTCTCACTGAAGTTGTGCAACTCAACTGTTTGCACAGGTATACTTGATTTGAAATTTATTTGACATATCTGTTGGTGGCGGTGCACAAGACAGAATGGAATCCAGCTTACTTTCTCTGCAGAGCCATCAGGAGTAAAAGGAAATAATTTCCTTTTCCCCATCAAAGTAAGGAAATATGCCTGATTACGCAGAGAACAGACTGGTACAAGTAGATGACCATTTTACACTGTTACTTCACAGAGGAGAACAGCACTTTAAGAATTCTTGACTGACTAAAATGCTATGCTGTGACTTGTTTTTATGTGGTCTTATGTAAAATCATAAAGAATGCATAAATAGTAATATTTAAATTCTTTATAGTAAACGGAGGCCTTTATCAGGACCACACTTTCCTTTGTCCACAGAACTTAACATGTATTAGAAACAGACTATGTATTTTAACAAATGCGTTGAGGTAAAGCTACATACCAGTTTATTAAGCCTTCCTATTGTTTCACGCAATGCTGCTTCTTTGACCTGTGTTCTTCTAGAAAGTAGTTCTTCATGTTTACAGGAATATCTCCAGGTGACATCAACAACCTCAAGCATAAATTGCAGAAGTTAAAAAATACATATAATACTCTGCCTCTTAAATAGCTGTATATTTTCAATAGACAACATGATCAAGAGATTGTCTTCTTACAATAACCTAGCAGATCCCATTAGAGAGGTATAGTTTATACAGCTTCTTTCTCGGAGCAAATTTGTATTTGCATTTCATAGCATATTATTATCCCTAATCCTACCTCATCCTTGGAGAATGCAATTACATAGGAGAGCTTCTTTCCCCAGCCAATCTCATAGAGAAGAGGTTTATCACAAACATTTTCACAAGGGTCACAATGAAGCCATCTCTGTTGGGATGAAGAATATACCTCAGTCCATACATGATCTGCATGAAAGAGATGCCAAGGAAAAGACTGAATGTTTTGCATTCAGAAGCATCACTTGTTAAATATGAAAACACAAATAATGCATTCTGCTTACTTTTATTAAAAGCAAGAGAACCCAAATGTATTATGTAATGGAATATCAACAGATATCATCATGTTGAACAGTAGTCTGACTTCATTACATAGAATATTCTTCAAATCAGACAAGATGGAAATTAAATCTACATATTATTCATTAGATACTGTGAAACCTCAGACGTTGCCAGTTAGCTAACATGAATACAAAATGTAATGGTGGTAAGTCCCATTTTTATGCAAGCTTATACTAAGTTTAAAGTGTTTTAGAGCAGTGATACCTGTTGAATCCCAGACATATCTAGCTTCAAATCCTAGAGCTCTGCAGCACAGGGTAAAACAGTTAGCCCACTCTCCACAACGCCCACATCTTGTTTCCAGAAGTTTCTCAGGATTATTATACCTAGAAAAATTAAACTTTATTTATTGTAAATTCTGTGCTTTGTACAAGTTCATGGACTTTAACAGAAATATATATTTTCCCCTTCTAAATCTTTGAACCATTTATACAATAGAACCTCTGAGTGCAAACTCCAGAATTATGAATTGACTGGTCAACAAAAACTCATTTGGAACTGGAAATATGCAGTCAGACAGAAGCTGGGGCGGGGAAGGGAGAAAAGAAAATACAGTACTGTGTTATATGTAAACTAAAAAAGAAATAAAGGAAAAGTTTAATACAATATTTGACAAGGTAAGGAAACTGTTTCTTTGATTGTTTCATTTAAATTAAGATGATGAAAAGCAGAATTTTTCTTCTGCATAGTAAAGTTTCAAAGCTGTATTAAGTCAACATTCAGTTGCAAACTTCTGAAAGAATAGCTATAATGTTTTGTTCAGAATTATCACCATTTCAGAGTTACAAACAACCTCCATTTCCCAGGCATTTGTAACTTTGAGATTCGCTGTAATCCTCTTGATTAGCAGGAAATCTGTTTTCAGTGACATTGACTGATTAAGATGATTGTTACATGACTGTTCTGATTTTAAAAAAAAAACCTCGATTTAAGTAGGATTTTTGTGCTCTACCGGTTATTGACAGATGTCAGCACAATTCTGAAATTAGTACTTATCTGCTGCTACATTCAGCAGAAGTATGACCTCGTTTGTAGGCTTCCAAAAAGTAAAATAATTTATTTTTACTTAAAAAAAAAAACACCCTGATAATGGCACATTTATTATTTAAAATAATAATATATAAAAAATGCACTTGGTATATTTTAACAGTGTTAAGATTAGTCAAATATTCAGTATAAAAGCAGGGTCCTATTTTTAAATGCAATACATTTTTTAAAAATTAAGCATGGTGATAAAATATAAACATCAGAGCCAACAACCACCCCATGGTAGTGCTTAAAATGATCTATTTGTGTTATAGTACAGATTTCAATGTTTGTATTTTGTTATATAATCTCCCAATAATTTACAGAATACATACATACAAAATAGCATTTTAGAAAATCCAAGGTTATGCTTACCTTGGAAATCTGTTGCTAAATTGGCACTGGTTACAGTGATGATTTTCAACCCTGCTTACACTCCATCTCAGATCTTCATCATTAGGTGATAAGTGACCTTTAGATTCTGTCTCACCACCACACTTGCTGCAAGGAAGGCTATTCACCCACTGAAAAAAATCATCCTTAAACCAGTGTAAGAGCTCCAACAACAAAAAATCATCTTCATTCACATGGGTACCTATAACATTAAAACACAATAATTCAAACAAGATTAACCAAATCTGGATTCAATTGACCTTTTCAAATCTACATTATAATTTAGAGTTGAAGTATTAACCAACAAATTAATATATAGATGCCATTTAAGCAAAAGATTAACAATTGCTTTGACTCCAAAACCCCAAAAGGTTTTTGTTTTACCAGAAGCTAGTGGCAGTATAGTTAAACATGTCGGCTGCGTCTAGACTGGCATGATTTTCCGCAAATGCTTTTAACGGAAAAGTTTTTCCGTTAAAAACATTTGCAGAAAAGAGCGTCTAGATTGGCACGGATGCTTTTGCGCAAAAGCACTTTTTGCGGAAAAGCGTCCGTGCCAATCTAGACGCGGTTTTGCGCAAGAAAGCCCCGATTGCCATTTTCGCCATTGGGGCTTTTTTGCGCCAAATGGTTTTTACCTGTCTACACTGGCCCTCTTGCGCAAAAGCATTTGCGTAAGAGGGCTTTTTCCCAAGTGGGAGCATCATAGTATTTGCGCAAGAACACTGACAATCTTACATGAGATCGTCAGTGTTCTTGCGTAAATTCAAGCAGCCAGTGTAGACAGCTGACAAGTTTTTCCGCAAAAGCTGCTGCTTTTGCGGAGAAACTTGGCAGTCTAGACGCAGCCGTCTAGTACAAGCGGACTTTTATAAGTTGTAGAGCATCTAGCATATTTTCCAAAATTAAGGTTTGTAAACAAAGTTTTAATTTACTTCATAACTCTTAAACAAGTATATCTTTTCAGGTCAACGTATATTAACTAGACATTTCCTGTCTGGCACCATGTCTTTTTATTATACATCCAGCTACTCTATGCTTGAACATTAGACTCTTCTGTCCTGTTTTTCCATCTATTTGTAGCAGGTGATAGAGCCTTCTCTTTTGCTGTTGATACCCCACCATCTGAAACAGTTAACTGCACCTGACTGATTTTTAAAATCCAGTTCTGAGATCTCTTCTTCCGATTCCTTACCGCCTTTAACTTACAAATATTTTAAAACTATATCCTGGGTCTTCCTTTCTCCCTATTCATAAATGTTCATCATAAATCTGACATTTGCTCTTTCATAACCAAGATGACAAATGTTAATGCCTATATATTTATCTATTTGTTTGTTTGCATTTACAAATTGTACTAATATATTTTTATAACAAAGATTCTGTGCAAAACCAAAGTTGCACCACCTTTTTAATGTTCTGAAAAAAAGATGTGTGCAGAAATGAGCTAGGCTGGTGAACTAGAGTACCTCATCTTAAAAGAGGACATTGATATAATAGGCATTACAGAACCTTGATGGCATGAGGATAAGTAATGGGACACAATAATACAAGGGTACAAAATATATTTGAAGGATATAGCTGTATCTGAATGGACAAAATATATCTGCTGGTGGGAGAAGAGGGGGAGTGGTGATATATGTGAAAGAATGTAGAATCAAATGAAGTAAAAATTGTACCATAGAATTTCTATGGATAATAATTCCATGCTCAGATAATACATTTTCAGCATAATGTATAAATTACAGACCACGATAATGATAGTGACTGTGAAATGCTCAGGCAGATCAGAGAGTATAAAAATAAAAAACTCAATAACGGGGGATTTCAACTATCCACATGTTGAATGGAACATATCACTTCAGGATGGGATGCAAAGTTTCTCGAAGCCTTCAATGACTGCTTTGTGGAACAGCTGGTCCTGGAATCAATGAGAGAAGAGGCTCTTCTTGATTTAGTCCGAAGTGGAGCAGAAAATCTGGTTGCTTGCTAACTATGACCATAAAATTAAATGTAATATCACTATGGTGAGGAAAACACCACAGCAGCTCAACAAGGCTGCATTTAATTTCAGAAAGATAAACTACACAAAAATAAGGAAGTTATACAGACTTTTAAAAGGTACAGTGTCAAAAGTGAAATCCGTGAAAGCTGCATGGAAACTTTTTAAAGACCCCATCATAGAGGCTCAACTTAAATGTATACCCACAATTAAAAAACATAAATCCTATTGCAGAAAATAGAAAAGAACATACATTCTGGCAGATGAAGTGAAAGAATACAATTAGGAAAGCCACACAAAAATTGAAGAACAGTTTGTTACAGACTCAAAAAGTAAAAGCAATTTTTAAAGTACATCAGAAGTAAGAAGACTTCTGATCGACCAGCGGGGGCCACTGGACAATTGAGATGCTAAAGGAGTACTCCTGGGGATAAAGCCATGGTGAAAAATTAAATGAACTGTTTGCATCAGTCTTCATGGCTGAAGGACGAGAGGGAGATTCTCATACCTGAGCCATTCTTTTTAGGTGACAAATCTCAGGAATTATCATTTTGAGGTGTCATTTTGAGGTGTCATTAGAAAATATTTTGTAACAAATTGATAAACTAAACAGTAATAAGTCACCAGGACCAGATGGCATTTATCCAGAGTTATGAAGGAATTCAAATGTGAACAGTTTCTGTTCCAAATGTTTGGATGATAGCTAATGTGATGCCAATTTTTAAAACAGGCTCCACAGGCGATCCCAGCAGTTACAAGCCAATAAGGCTGACTTTAGAACCAGGCAACTGGGCTGAAATTATAGTAAAGAACAGAGATTGAGAGACACACAGATGAACATGATTTCTTGGGGGCAAGGTCAACATGTCTTTTCTAAAGGGAAATCATGCCATACTAATCTACTAGAATGTTTTTGAAGGGATCAGCAAGCATACGGAATAGGGTGATTCAGTAGATATAGTGAACTTAGATTTTCAGAAAGTCCCCCACCAAAGGCTCTTAAGTAAAGTAAGCAGTTGTGGGATGAGAGGGAAGGTCCTTTCATGGACTGGCAACTAATTAAAATATAGGAAATGAAGAGTAGGAATAAATGGTCAGTTTTGTGACTGGAGAGAGGTAAATAGTGGTGTTTACCAGAGGTCTATACTGGAATCAGTACTATTCAATCTATTATATATCTGAGGGAGCAAGTGAGTCTGTCTGTTCAAGAAGTCCCCTTAAATGGTAAGAGCCCGGACCACCAAATTCGGTGTACAGATTCCTCTTATCATAAGAGGAATAGCCATTAGAGCAACATAAGAGTTTGGTTTTGCCATGAAAATGGGATATGCTTGGAATGGGATTGTCTTTTTTCTGTATGGTTTTATGAGAAGCAATCACCAGGCAGGCAAAAGGGACTGGCTGGGGGTGGACTGCCCAGCTCAGAGCCTCCCACTCCCTCTCCCCACCCCGGAGCCCTTTAGGGAACATTTCTAGCTGTTCCTCTTCATCATGGAGGAAGGAGAAAGTTCAGTTTGTCCATTCCTCACTCTGACTGGGAAGCGAAGGGGGCAGATGAACCTGAACCTGGACCTGCCCCAGCCTGGGGACATGCACTTCTCCCTCAGCTGTGCACACTGGAGCTGCAGTGGCCAGGGAGAGGTGCTTCTCATCTGGACCCAAGCTGCTGCAAAGAGAGAGAGTTGGGGAGATAGTCCTCTCTCCCTGAGGCAGCCTACATACTCAGCCACTGCCTGACGCCAGAGCAATGATTTAAATGACAAAAATTAATTGAGTTTAAGACCCAAGCAATGCCAGGAAAATCTTCTAGTGTATTCATAAATGATCTGGAAAAATAAGTAAACAGTGAGGTGGCAAAATTTAATGATACGAAACTATTCAAGATAATTAAGTCCAAAGTAGACTGTGAAGAGCTACAAAGGCATCACATAAAACTGGGTAACAGTGCAACAAAAAGGCAGATAAAATTCAGTGTTGATAAATAAAAAGTAATGCACATTGGAAAATATAATTCCAAATATACATATAAAACGATGGGGTCTAAATTAGCTATTACCACTTAAGAGAGTGAGCTTGGTATTACTGTGGACAATTCTTTCGAAACATTCACTCAACGTGCAGTAGCAGTCAGAAAAACTAACAGAATGCTGGGAATCAATAAGAAAGGGATAGATAATAAGACAGAAAATATCATATTGCCTTTTATGCTACATCTACATCTTGAATACTGTGTGCAAATGTGGTTGTCCCATCTCTAAAGATAGACTGGAATTGCAAAAGGTTCAAGAAAGGGGAACAAAAATGATTAGGGGCAGGAAACAGCTTTCATATGAGGAGAGATTAGTAAAATTGGGACTTTTCAGTTTGGAAAAGAGATGACTAAGGGGGGATATGATAAAGATCTATAAAAATCATGACTAGTGTGCAGAAAGTACATAAGGAAGAGTTATTTTCTTCTCATAACACAAAAGCTAGATGCCATCAAATGAAATTAATAGACAGCTGATTTAAAACAAAAGAAGATATTTCTTCACACAATGCAGTCAACATATGGCATTTTTTTGCCAGAGAATGCTGTGAAGGCCAAGACTATAACTAAATTAAAAAAGGAACTAGATAAATTAATGGAGGACTGGTCCATCAATGGCTATTAGCCAGCATGGCTAGGGATGCTGTTTGCCAGAAGATGGATATGAGTGACAAGGAAATAATCACTTGATGATCACCTACTCAGTTCATTTGCCTCTGGGGCATCTGGCATTGGACATTATCAGAAGACAGTACATGGGGCTAGCGGGACCTTTGGTCTGACCCACTATGGCTATTCTTATGTTTTTATGAACCTGATTTGCACCTTGTGTCACCAACTCCATTAAATTTATATCGCTAGAAATGTGATAGACATGATAAAAAGGGACAGTCCATTAAGCAAAACACAAGTAAACAAGTCTGGTATTTAAGACTGGATTTTGATTTAATAAAATCTCCTTTTCAGCATTATACAAATTTAAAATGTTACATAAATGATTCTACAGAAATAACAGCTATTGCTTATATGCTGGATATGATCTGTGAATATTTTATTGCTGTCTTTTCTCTGAGCTGTCTGCCAGAAGCTGAATGAGGTAATTTCAATCAAAGTACAATTTTTCTTTCTGTTGGCTAGTGGTGAATATAATCATGCCCCTCTATAGAAAGAAAATTGCTACGATTACATAAATATTCTTCTCTGGGTTCATAAAGTAAATCGTGCATGAAAGGCTCAGCATAGAAATAATGACAAATATGACCAGCTCAACAAGAAATTATTGTTTGAAAATACCTAGAGATCACACAAAAGTTACACAATTTACATTGCTAATAGTAGGTGGCCTACAAGGGTGAAGACAAGCATTGTAATCTCCTGTTCAAATGACCATAACTTTATTAGGATGGTCTTTATGAGCCAAAAAGCATAGACTATGATTTGGTCTTCAAAATCCCAAAGGTTTTATATATCTGTCTGTAATAACAGATCTCCAACAGCAATGGTAATTTCTCCAGGTGGCTGTCTTAATACAAGAGTGACAGATTTACAAGGAAACTGGCAGGGTAGATTATTTCTTAGCAACAGTAGCTATTTCCTTTCATACGGCCCATTCTCAACGGAGTCTATCTTTTTATATGTCTTTAAAAATTAAAATTAATACAGTACCAATGCTTTTAAGTTGTCATTGCCTAACAAATAGCAATGTTTTTATTACACTATTTTACACCTGAGTTTAAGGTGCAAGGTCTGAAACCTTGAGTGCCACTTTGGACTTATCAGCTCTAGAGGATGGGGTCACATGAACACAAACTCCATACCCTTAAAACACAGTAAATAAGAATAATTATTTTAAAAATATCAAAACATCAATTTTTTGGTTAAAATCAATTGTTTTGGTTTAAATCAACTTTTTTAAAGTTAAATAATAACAATAACATAATATTTCTTGTTTATAATATGTTACTAGGTAGTTTGCTCTCTCCATTTTAGTTTAAATTTGATATAGTGGATGTTTTGTAGTAATTTTTTAGTTTCATGATTGTTAGAAGAATTTCATATTTTACACTTTTTTCTTTTAGATAATTCCATACTTTAAATGCTTAGTGAAAACATTTTAAAATTCTTATAATCAGAACACAATCCCAAATTTAAAACTAATAAGCAATTACCCCATCCTATATTTGTAACCAACATAACTTTGTAATGTAGTGATTTTCCAAAAGAAGAAAAAGCTGAAATTCTCTAATAGTCTTCCATCAGGGTATGCAGTTCAGTCAATAGAACTTATGTTCCTAAGTCACTATAGTACTTTTGAAAAATCTCACCTTTCAATGCCTAAATCTGTGTACAGAAGGCTAATTTTACCCTTGGGGTTTTGGAATTTTTTGGATTGTGTGCATAAAAATTAAAAATTTTTTTACCATCTTGAAAGTCTAACTTTTCACTGTTAAAACGGAAGCAATTTTGTTTTTAAGTAATAAAGATTTTATGCCACAAACAGTAATCTCTCTCTCTCTCTCAAAAATTTTTCTGTGGAACAACAGAGTGATATCATCGCGTCACTCTGCATCCCATCGCACCTCCCCCCTCAGCCGGAGAGCCTCCTCCCACTGAGCTTTGTAAACAGTGACCCAGCTTCACTCCAACCCCTCACCATGCATGCTGGACAATGCAATCCTTGAGATGCGTAAGCAAGGCACTGTACATAGGGCCTGAGTGATGAGCCATTCCCTTCCCACCACCAGGTCTCAGCTCCACAATGCTGCTGGGAAACAAGGGACACTCCCAGACCCCTAGGCTATGTCTACACTCGTGGCTTCTTGCGCAAGTATGGCAGTTCTTGCGCAAGAATCCGAAGAGCGCCCACATGGCCCGCCTGCTTTTGTGCAAGGAAATTTACAGTACAGTGTGGTAAGAGAAGGCTTCTTGTGCAAGAGCTACACTTTTTTAACAGGTGTAAGCCCTCTTGCGCAGGAGCTCTTGGATGCTGGCCAGGGTTTCTTGCGCAAGAAAGCCCTATGGCTAAAATGGCTATCAGAGCTTTCTTGCGCAAGAGAGCGTCCACATTGCCATGGATGTTCTTGTGCAAAAACACAGCTGGCACAAGGCAGTGTGGACATTTTCTTGTACAAGAGTTCTTACACAAGAACCCTAGCGCAAGATGTTCTTGCTCAAGAAGCCGCTAGTGTAGACATAGCCCTACTGTCCTCCTGCTGTGTCACACAAGGATACACTTCTAAGGGGAGAACTCCCTCCAGAGCTGGCTGCAGCATAATCTGGCTCTTCCCCCTCTCTGGGTGGCCTTCTAGGGGGCTTGTTTCCCCGGTCTCCCCAACCCTGGCTCCTGCCCCAGCAGCCTCCTCCGTAGTAGGGTCTACCTCAGAAATGGAACCAATCCAGTGCATTGTGGCTGTGCTCCCAGAAAGAGCCTGGGGTTGGAGTGGGAGTCCGGAGGCATCCACGATGAGGGCAGTGGCAGAAGGTGAGAGATATATGACTGCTGGGGCTGGTAACTGCCACGGCTGTGCAGGTGACCAAGTTCCAGGGGTAGCTAGTGCTGCAAGTAGGGGAAGCAATGCGAGAAGGAGAGGGAAGTGCCACCATGGAGGCCAAGAGACAGCCTGTGCCTTGAGTAGGGCCTGGTGCTGATGAGGCAGCCAGTGGGCTCAGAGCCTTTATTATCTCGCCATCCTCCAGTTCCCCCTCCTCCTCCCTGGTGCTCTGGGGTGGAAGGGGGTGGGGGAGAGGAGCCACGCGGCCTCCTACCTCCCCCATGCTCAGGAGGGAGTCAAAGGGGCTGCAATCCACACGGCCTTCTCCCATGCTTGGGGGGAGAGAGAGCAGGTGACCTCCCCCCCTCCCTGGTGCTCTGAGAGCCACGTGGCCTCCCCCCTGCCCATCTCTGAACTTTGCACGCGAATAAACTATTTTATTGGCGGGTGGGGCAGGAGCGGGAAGGATGTGGGGTGATGGGGGCTGGCTGGCGATTGAAGGCTGCAAGTAGGAGGGATGGGCCAAGAGGCTTTGGACACAGGAGTCTGTCCAGGGGTGTGGTGGGAGCAGAGAATGGTGCGAGTGATTTGGGGCCATGGAGAGCGCAGCCAGGCTCAGTGGAAGCATAGCAGACTCTCTGGCAGCGAAATCAGCCCGTGAGAGGAGGGCTGGCGAGAGTAGCCAGCAGGGGGTGCAGGCCCCTAGTTTTTATTAAAAATACAATTTTAAAGCCTGATGCTGCAAACATTTATGCATATGCTTCACTTTAGGCACATAATCAAAAGGATTATTCTTGTGAGTGAAGTATCACACTTGTTTGTAGGAGCAAGGCCTTAGCTTCCACTGTTTTAGTTTTTGCCTATTGTATTTCTGTACAAATCAGAAAAAAAAATTACCTAAATTGTGTTTTTAAAAAGCAGCAGCATTTGCAATTTAGTTAATTTTACATTTTAAACTGAAGTTAAAATAATACAAGTTTTCAAATTAATTTTATATTCTCGAGATTATATGAATCCTGATTAAAAAAATTAAGTGATGTTAATCAATTTAAATTGCTCTGCCTTTCTTTAAAGACATATATTTATTATCTTCATTCTATTCCAAATGCAAGTAGCTAAGTAATATGTACAGAATCCTGGTGCCTCTAGTGCTGTTTGCTGCTAGTTCAGAAGTCTGAATTCAAGTAAACTTCCTTTGCTCTCTCATATCTCCTCCCATTTGCAGCCATGAACAGATGGCCAGCAGATGGACATAAAAGAAAAGCATGCGAAGGAAGAGCAAATTTAAAATATTATTGTGCAGTGGATGAGAAGAGGACAGATGAAAATGGAAGACAGTACAGAGGGTTAATAAATTTAAGAAATGGTTCAGCTACCCTGAATTTATGAAACTTCTCAAAGCCCCATCTGTACAGAATACAGTACTTTGTTTCAGCCCTTTGCATACATGGATTCTGAATGTATATGATGTGCTGGCATTCAACAGGTGAACTTGAAGGACAAAAGAACTATGAGCCTCAACATTTCATTCAATTTGATTTTGAAAAAAGAAAACAAACTAGGGATTAGCATTAATTCTCCAAAAGAAACACTTTTTTTTTTGATGAAGAAGATACACTAAATGAATAAGGCATACTATACACATTATGAATACTAGTGTAATTTAAAATGAGTATTTGGATTTTACAGAAACAGTGACAATCTTTCTCTGTAAACATGCACATTATGCCCAAATATTTAACTTAGAATTTTTAGTGTTTTGTAAATTATCAGAACTAATACCTCCATCCACTTTTTTGGCTTGTGCTAACTTTTCTTGAGCTCTCTCTTTCAAATCTTGGACAGGGATAGAAGCCAGTGCTTTTTTCTGAAGAGACTGGTTCTCATATACTTGCACATGCTGAAAGTTTGATTGAAGGGTTTTAAAGAAGACTGTTTCAGCCTCCTAATATGGAAAAAAATAAGTATTATTACAATCTGTGCAAACCATTCTCTTGTAATTGGATTATTTCAAAACATCTGGTCTTGGTTCATTAATTTGTAATCTTGTGTATATATTTATTATAGAGTTGCTGATCATGACTCCATAGTTCAGATTGCTTTACAGATTTCAGTTAAAAGGATTTTTGAACTTTTTTTGGGTAAAAATATGAATAACATGCTAAAATTAGAACAAAGAATGTAAACTTTGAGCACTATTTAAATTTTTCATGATAGTGTGATTGAAACATGAATTGATAGAGAAAGAACTCAAAAATCATTCCTTATGGCAATTTTTTACTGTTGTCTTACTTCTCTTTGTATGCTCTTTCCAAGGAATCTAAAATACTCCAATTCTTGGATCTGTCATTTGTGCATATTGTTGCTCCTGATGAACTGATTTCTAGAGCAACAGTTATACATAGCTGAGTTTGACTGGAGAGCATTTGAAAACTTTTTAGCTATAATGGAAAACGTATGTGTCAAGCTGAAGCTGCTGAATTTGACAATGTAGCAGCCATGGCAAATGAGGAGACAGAGAGTGAGTTAGTATATCTCTATAACCTAGGGTAGGGGTGGGCAAGATATCTCCTGCGGGCCGGATCAATCCCACGGATGCCCCTCCTGGGACCCTCAGGCATGCAGCAGCCTCTATTTTAAACACAGGGCTGCTCCATGTGACACTCTACTCTGCAGGGGCAAGGGGGGAGGTTTCGGGTGATCTCTCCACCCCCAGCGCAATCGCTCAGCTCCTATTGGTCAGAAATAACCAGCTAATAGGAGCTGAGAGATTGGCCTGGGGGATGGGGGCAGCACAGGCCTCTCATCCCTTCCAGAGTGGAGAGCCACATAGAGGAAGCAAGCTGTATTTTCAATGCTCTTGGGCTGCACCAGGCAGGGAGCCAAGCCTGCCTTGGGAGTGCTGCAGGCCGAGAGATGCTTAGGTAAGTGCCTCTCAGCTAAAGACTGCCTCTGGAACCCCAGCCCCTCTTGCTCCCCAACTCCCTCCCCCAGGTCACTTTCCAAACCCTCTGCACTCCTCTTGCCCCAGGTCACAACTCCCTCCCAGAGCCTGTACCCACACCCCTCCCAATCCACACCCCTCCCCCATGCAAGAATCGTCTCCTGCACCTCACTCCCTCCCTGACCCTACACCCCAATCCCCTAAAAAAGGTCACAACCCCCTCCTTCACCTAAACTCCCTCACAGACCTCACACCATCTCCGGCACCCCAGCCCCTTACCCCCTGTGCCCTTCTGTACCCAACCTCCATCCTAAACCCTGCACACCCCCTCCACAGAAATGTGTGGACCTTGACTATTTTCAAAATCTTGGAGTGGCTCCCCATCAAAAATTATTGCCCACCCCTGACCTATGGGATAATTCTCTGAAATTGGAAGGAAGGGATCAAGAGATTAAAACTAACTGTTTTGTATTTCCATGCAAATCACAACCAGCAAAGAGTTGCTGAATAACCCTTTAATGCAGGTAATGATGCCTATTGGTAAGGCTTCTGAGCAATTCTTGTTACAAGATCCTGAGAACTGGAGTGAGATTAAGGAAATCTTGGTTCTAGTCCCAGAACTCTCACCTTTATTGTGTTTGCTGTACCACATAGCCTTTCACACTGACTAAACCAGTTATCCTGTCCCAGAACTTAGTTCAACTTCAGATTCTGTCACACAGATATTTTTTTTGGCCATACAGCAAAGCTACTCTGAGTAGATCACACACTCAAGCATAGTGGATGGGTATAGGGCGTACCACACATCCAAAGTTATACTGCAATCCTTTCCCTTTGTATACATTACATTGCTTTTACTAACCATTGCATCACACGTTTTGGGATTTGCCTGGTCACTTTCTAGGAAACAATCTCCATTCAGCACATACTGTTCAGACATGACCTACATGGTCACAACTGCCTCCTTCACCCAAACTCCCTCTCATCTTTCTAGGCTCATTGTAGTCAGTTATTCTGTCCTTTGTAAATGGTTTATTGGGTGTTCTCTCTTTGCTAGCTAGTACAGACATTCTGTTTTCAGCCTGCTGAGCCTACTCTTGTCTCCAAAAAATAAGTCCTGACCCGTGTCCAATTAGTCATGTCAAGCCCAGTCTACATTACACTACATGAATATATGTCTCAGCTTCATCAAACTTGCACTCTCAGGGATATGCATGTTATAGGCATTACAGTAAAACTCCAGTGGTCCGGCATCCAATGGTCCGGCACTCCTGATGGTCTGGCACCATCTGGAACCTGGAAGTGCTCCAGGCAGCTGGACAATTGGAGCAGCTCTGCCCCCAGTTTCCCGAAGTCAGCCACTGGTCAGTCTCAGCAGCGGCTGACTTGGGGACGTCTGGGGCAGAGCAGCTGGGGTGCTGCGGGGTTGGTCCCCTAGCGCTGCCCCTCAGCGCTGCGGAACCAACCCGGCAGCACCCCAGCTGCTCTGCCTCAGACTTCCCCAAGTCAGCCACTGCTGGAACTGCATTTTCTTTAACCCTCAAAG